TTACCATAGAATAGGTAGTATAACAGAAACAGAGAAAACTGCCAAAGAACATGAGCTATTCTTCAACTACATAACAGCGGCTACGCGACGTGGCATGTTTGTCGAATATACCTGCAGGAAATCTTGCGAAGCATGTTCGAGTTTTTCATTTGCTTTACAACCGTCGTAACGTATCTTCTCTGTAATTTTTCTGTAAATATTTTCACTGTAATTCTTCTGGTGAACTTTCGTCTTTGATATATGGACGAATTGCGCATATTGGGACCAATTTGGATTTCACAGAGATTCTTAAGTATCGAAGTGGCTGTAGTAACAATGATAAGTAGGAACGTGTTGTTTTAGTGCAAGGAATATTGTAGTTTGTTTAAACTTAAGATAAATTGAAGACCACAAAATAAATATTCCCTCTTTGATAATTCGACCTCCCGAATTGAAATTCGGTACTAGATTGAAAGATAGGTCTCATAATTTCTTTGTTAAAATTGGTAGGTGTAACTATAACATCTATGCTGATAGTTTTTTTCTCTCGCACTTTTCGAATGTGGATGTCTCTTCCGGCTTTCATGTCAGCCACGATTTGCAAATATTTAAATACAATAAATATTGTCATTTTCTGTCCCCTTCGATCCTGTTATGAATATTGTATTTTTTTTTCTTTCATTTTCCTTAATCCCTTCCATCTTAGTTGTTTTTTATCGTCTCGCTTCGAACCAACTTCTTGTTACCTGCGAACAGTAGGGGATTGTCTTGCTTGAATAAACTATGAAGAAGTGTAAAAAGGGTTAAAAAACAAGTAAAATTTTCTGATTATTTTTCTTTAGCCGCATATCAATATCTCTAGGGGTTACTTAATGCTAAAATCTCAAAAATTTGTACGTAAATATATGGCTTCAACTAGATATTTTGTAGATAATTTTATACTTCCAGGGCAAGCATTTTTTTTAGATATATAGTTAGTAGATAAAATGTATAGCTAGTAATATTAAAAAAATTGTATTTTTTATAGTTTACTGTTGCATTGATTGTCATTTTCCTATAAAAATGCATTAATAGTGGTCACTTTTTTTTTTTTTTATAAATATAATTGCAGTATGGCCCGGCGTTGCCCGTGCTTGATTAAAAAAATCGTACAGCTCATACAGGAATCGCTATCACTTGACTTAAAATATTTTTGCCCTTCCTTGCCTTTAACGGAGTGCCCTTTGCCGTACTGATGTTGCTACATGCCTTACTTCTTGCCTATCTCACATTGCGAAATTTTCTAAGCTCGATACTAAATATTAAATCTATTATGAAAGAAGAACTAAACAAAATGAACACAAAACGATCAGCTTTAAAAAAAAAGGACTCATAAGTGGAAAAACCGAATGAAAATAGAATGTTAACAACAAATACTTTTTCACACCCAACCCAGTTCTGCGGAATCAGAATCAACGTTGAGTTTAAGCAAGCGAATGTGCCAATTGGCGTAAAGTGCCATGCAGATTAAAATTTTTCCCACTTGTGACGAATGCAGCTATCGATTTTTTTGCATGCTAGTTAACATTCGTGTCAGTCAGCTGTTGGCTCTCACGTTGGCCAATAGAATCTTCCTGCCTATTCGTGGCAGCCAGCTATAGGCTCTCACTCTGGCCAGTAGAAAATGGCCGCAAACTACATGAAAACTACCGTAGAAGCATGAAAAAATCGATTATTTCCACAATCGATGGGAGTTGGGAAATGCAAGGTCGGTCTTGGCCTTACCGCTAACTTGGAGCATGTGCATGTAAATTTTGGTGCAAATCCGTCGAAAATTGCGGTCGTTACACACATGCACACACATCCTGCCTTTTATAGATACAGATATACTTTTATTTTTACCATAATATATTTTTGTACTTAAGGAACCACTAAACAAAAATGATAGATGGTATCCAAACAAGTGCTACAACCTCGTGTCGGGTCATCAATTCTTTTCTTTTTATGTGCTATGTCGTTTCAGGTCGTAGGAGATGATGGCTCTCCACCTCTTCCTCTATCTCTTGCAGCTCTCAACATGTCCCTTCTCTCTGCTACCTCCCCCAGACCACGTTCTGTCATCCCCTTTCTTAAGCCTGCTAGGTATGTCTTGCGTTGTTTTCCCTTGTCTCTCTTTCCCTCTGTCCGACCCGTGTGTATCACATTCTCCAGACCCTCCTTCCTCATATGTCCCAGAAACTTCAGCTTCTTCTTCTTGATGTTAAGTATAAGCCTTCTTGCTTGCATCCTCTCTAAGACATCATCGTTGCTCACACGCTAGGTTCATGTTATCCTTAGCATCCTTCTGTAGAAGCACATCTCCGTCGCCTCGAGTCTCTTCATATTTGAGAAAATCGTCCAACATTCGCTGCCGTCAAGGACAGATGTCGCGTAACAGCTCAGTATTCTTCTCTTTGTTATCAAAGTAATCCTCCTGTCTCGCATTATTCTGCCCAGCTTAAGGAATGGTCAGAAATTAAGCGGTACAAATAGTCTGCAAAAATATTTGTATATATCAGTTAAGAGATTCTACCTTCATGCGTGGCCCTTGCGAACTTCAACAGAATGCACCCGATACTATTACAAAGCTACAACCACCTTAATCAGTACTCTGCTTAATCAGTAGCGTTATGGTTTTTCTTCCATACATGACCTCGATCATCCGCCCATCGTTAAACTGAGTCTCATCTCACTAGACAACACTACCCGCATATTCTGTTCAACAACAATTTTCTTATGCCTACGTGATTAGCAGTAACTTATGATGTGGGGTCAATAATGCAATTCCTGTTTTTCAGCAACATCTGGAATAAAGTGTACGTTATTTTGAATGTTGACTGATGGGTTGAGCTGCACCAATGTTGAATTTGAATCCAATTTCATGCAATAGGTTCCTTGTGTTTTCTGGAAATATATACTAACTTTTCATACGGAATATCATTTTTCTGTATTATAATTTATCTATTATCTGGCACGAAGTCCATCTTTAAGATGAAACTGCACACCAAGAAAAGGGAATTTAAAAAAAGCGTATTACATTATAGCAGAGGTAAATGTATAGACAGTTTTTAACTGTCTGCATTTAAATATATATGAGTTTAAGCGCCAGATACTGATAAACATCGGTACAAATTAATATTTGTCAGCAGATATTTTTATCAGAAGTTGTATTCGTTTTAAATAAGATACCTTTCTAATTTTCTATTCAACCTAATGAATCATAGATTGCAAGTGATATACGCTTCTTTCTTCGTGCCATGTCTCTTTAGGACGTGATTGATCATGTTTCTCCACAACTTCCTGTCCTTTATATCTCAAAGCAATGTTTCTCCTCTTATACACACCCACTCAGTCATTTTTATGTATTTCACTTAAACAAATTCGTTCGGTAGGTTACTCGCTGGTTCCCCCTTCAATCTTCTTTTTTTCACCAATGTTCACTCAATACGAGCCCCAAGAGCCATTTAAGGTAGAGGGTAGTTTTACGTGCGTAATAAAAAGCAAGAAATACCGTTAAAGATGTAGGAAAGATAACGGTTAACTCGTGACATGAAGTCATCAATATTGTAGAAGATTGGAAGAAGATATGCGTTCAACATGTTCTGTGAGTGTCAAATTTTACAGTCTCCCTTTTCTCAGCATACGTCCCAGAAATTTTAAATATTTCAAGTTTCGTTTTTCTTTCCATTTTCCTTTAAAATTCATCATTGCATTCATACTGTGTCCATTCCTCTGTAGAACCACATTGTTACCCCAACATTCCGCTTCATCTGGGTCGTATATAGGTTTCACAGCCATATAAGAGGATTGATATCACTCCAGGACTCAATACTCATTTCTTTGTTTCTAACGAATTTTTTCTGTCTCTTAAAACTTTTAGGTTCTGAAAATTATCTTTCGCTATTCCAATGTGATTTTTGTCCTTTTCTGTCTTTTATAAAACATCCGAAAAATTTCTGTATTTACTTGATTCGACCGTCTTTAATTTGTCGTTTTCATCTAAGGCTGTCCACATTGCTAACTATGATACATTCTATCTTACAATTGGTAGTTAGTCATGTATTCTCACTTTCTTTTACAACTGCATTTTTTGTGTCTGCCATTTGGAATTTGAATTAGATCATGTTTGCATGTTCTCCAAGAAATTAATAAGTTTCTTTAACATATAAAATCTTTGATACATTTGCTTTTCTTTTAATGTCAGCACGTAGACAATGATGTTTCTCCAAAGTTTTCAGTTATTTTTAATATCTTTAAATTTCTTAGATCTTTGGGGGATGGTAGTAGCGGGGATTTGCTTTCTTCCTGTTTTGAATTTAGAATTGTTCTTTCCATAGATTGGTTGACCTATCAAGGCTACTGGGGTAAATCCGAGTTACTAGTTTATCCATGGAGTAGTGAGTAGGAAAAAGGATGTATTCATATTTTTCAAGGTTATTAGTGCGATGTGAGCCTCCACAGCTTCGGTCGGACTTTAACATATTCTAGTTATGTATCAGTTTCTGTCTTAGTTATGCAGCTGAGATATATTTGATGTTATCTTCAGTAGATTATAACGGAAAACACGAGACCATTACTCTCACGCGGAACCATATATTTTTATTCAATTCTGGACTTCCATAACCTGAGGCCTTCATCGTACGCCGACCCAATATTGTTATGGGGATATACCACCTTCACCCTAATCTTGAGTTGTAAATTTATCTATATGTCATATCGTTTTTCCACTTGTGTGCACATGATTCGTTATCAACCATTTGTAGGTTATTTAAAGCCATAAAATATGTTTAAATTATTTTTTTGGGGGGGACGAGAATAATGTTTTAGTGATATTATTAGTTTTATTAATTAACCTACAGCTGGAGGGAGAATAGGTTGATTCCTATCCTTCTCAAAGGTATTTGCACGTAAATGAATATAACGAACCCAACTGGAATTGGATCACGGCTTAATCAATTAATAATTCGGAGACATTATCTATTACATCATCTGCATATCCAAGTTTACAGCAGCTGGTATTTCTAAGAGGTCACTCATCTCGGTATTGACCAGGCTCGATGATGCTTAACTTTGGTGATCATACGGGAACCGGTGTTTTAACATGATGTGTCTGTAAGACTTGCTCATCTCGGACTCAAGTAGATCTATCAGGTGTTCATACATACAGCCACTAACAAGAGATTAAACACACACTCCGCATTTGACTATAATATATCTCAAAATATAAGGTAGCAACTCAAAATCAAAGTTTTTTTTATCGAATTTTGGTCATGACAGGACTACCCCATTGCCTCATAACACATAAGAAAATCATAAATTCAACAGTTTAAGGTTTTATACACAAACGCAGCTCTCCAAGAAATAATCATTTGTTTTAGAACTATTTTTCATATTGCTACAGATTAAGTACTCCAAAGTGGGTGTCAGTTTACCATGTAAATTCCTTGTAAATTTTTTCTCCCTACTCAGGCAACAAAATGCTCTTACCACGTGATAAATCATATTCTTTCTAGCCTTAAAAAATTTCAAATAAAAGTTTTAAAGTTAAAATGTAAAATATTAAAAAAAATAGTTTAAACTTTTTGCTTTGTTTTCAAAATAATGCTCACAAAATGTCAAAACAGACACAGTATAAGAATTTAAACAGACTCATTTACTTTTTTCTTCTTTTTCCTCTCTTCTTTTTCCTCTCCCCTTTTCTTTCTTTTTCCCTTTTTTTTTCTATTCCCCTTTTTTTTCTTTTTTTTCCTTTTTCTTTCTTTTTTCCTTTTTCTTTCTTTTCCCCTTTTCTCTCTTTTCTCTTTTTTCTCTCTTTTCCTTCCATTTTTCCTTCTACTACTAACATTTTTTGTCATGTTAGCATAGTGGGGCCAATTTACCATAATAAATAGATCTCCGCCTTATTGAAATTAAAGGAAAAAATAGAAAATACCTCTCTATTCCAGATATGAAGTGCATAATGAAAAAATAAATTTGAATAAAATATTTATTTTTTGGAAAGATTCATTAAAAAAATGTCTTATTGCTAAAATTCACATCACTATCATGACACAATGGTAAGCACGTAAAAATTAGTCAACTGGATTTATATCAAGCATTACATATTTTTTGTCTCTATCATTAGTTTTGACAGGTGAATGCCACAGAATCTTCATTTTTATTTGTATTTTCTCGCCATTGCTCTTGCTAATATTACCTCGCGTCATCATTATTTAATTATTTTTTTTTATCTCAATTCAAGCGATATTTTATTTAATTCCCTTGTTTCAAAAATAAATTTCTCGGTCAGGTCTGCTTGGTGTGAACATCGAAAACATTGATAATTATGATGCGTTATAGTCATCTCTCATAAACATGAAAATTCATGATAATTTACGTCACAATAAAGAAAACTAATTGATTAAATTCATAAGTCGTTGGTCCCATATTAAAAGTATTTTAAATTGGACTAGAATTTTTTAGCTCATAAAAATAAATATTTAAATCTATAACGAACGCTCCTTTTGATATTTTTTAATTTCGATGATTTATTGCAAACAATGAGATGACGTTTGCATTAGATTGCCTCAGAAATTCAGTTTTAAAATATTATTATGAAAACCCCTAATATATTTTTGCCAGATTAAAATAAGTGGACTTGTTGTTGATATTTTTTTCGTATTTTATTTTCAGATTGAAAAGTTAACAACTCCAAAACATTGAGTCTGGTTAATTTTATTGGGATGGTGCATAATTATCAGGCGTTTTTGTAGGCATCTTATTTGTTAATAAAAATCGATGTTTATTTTGTTTTTAAATGTATTGTTTTATTATCAGGTTATAAAAATGCGTGTCGATAATCATACTCTCCGTAATAATCATTTAAAAATGTTAGTGTTGAATATTTTTTTCATAATAAATATTGTTTAAAAACGACTGATAATTATGTACCAACCCAATATTTCTAATATTCTTTCGGTATCTGAGAAAAATGAATAGATGAAAATAGTAACCAGTTGCGAGTAGGAAAACCGAATACAAATTCTAATTGAAACGAGTATCACTTTCAGGTAAAAATGAGATCCGGCTATAAATTTGAAGCACTTTTATTGTACATCACATTTCGTAGCCAGTAATTCGTACGGGGACATTTGTCATAAACTGAAGTGCAAATATATATTTTTTCTTTTATGATTTTGTCTTAGTTTCACGAATTTATTTATTTAAACTGTCAATGATACCGAATCTGTAATTTCATTGTCTGATGCATGTATTAAATTAATTTGCATTATATCGTTTTCTGTCTGTGGAGGAGAATATTGTGTAATGTTTAACAACACGAAGAAAGTAATCGGTGATCAGAATTTGTGTTCACTTCACAATAACACCTTCTTACACCAGCTGGGTGTAAACGTGGTGGCATTTATCGCTCGTTAATACTATAAATGGAACCATCTTGGTCACTGTAAAAACTGACTTGCTATTGGAAGCAATATAAACATTATTTTATGTGGTTACACCACTGTGTTCTACAGCTAGTCTACAGGAATAACAAACGTGTTTGATCTATATGATGAATGGAGAAGTTGTCGATTAAGTGGATATACAAAGGATGATAATATGTTAAAAAATAGTCATTTCTTGCGCAAAAACATTTTTCGCGCCATGAGGTCTGAGCTTCTATATATATATATATATATATATATATATATATATATATATATATATATATATTGATTGATTTAAAATATGTTTTTTCGCTAAACAGTTCTAACCATGTTTCAAAAAATGGAAGCTAAAAGCCACGAATTTAATATATATATATATATATATATATATATATATATATATATATATATATATATATTTCTATTATAGGTGCAGTTCAATTTATAATTACATGAATCATTCATACAAAAACAAATATAGAGGTTAATGATTTAAATGTACCTTATTGAAATTGTTTGCGAATATGTATTCTCGCATTTAAATCATTAACCTCTATATTTGTTGTTTGTATGAATGATTCATGTATATATATATATATATATATATATATATATATATATATATATATATATATATATATATATATATATATACACAAAAGGGAAAATCAAGTTCCTTACCAAATATCATCTGAAAATTGATCTTACATTTTCTCTGTATAATGATCCTTCAATGAGACTAAAGGGAAATAGGTTTAGTACTCTAAGAAGAAAGAAGATTGTTGAAAATAAACACCTGTGTATGTGTGTCTGGAATTATGTTGCAATAGACAGCAGAGTTGAACTGTGATGGGCACAGCTGTGAGTAGGTATCCGGGATTCACGTTGTGATCAAAAGAGTTGAACAGGGCTGAGTCTTATATATGCAGTAGTGAGAAAAATAAAACCGTTTTGCTGATGTCTATAAATACGACCGAACCAGAGAACAAAATGGCCGACGAAAGTCTGACGTAAGGCGTTGAATAAATGTTAAATATGAAAGATTAAAATCTCATCTATATTTCTGAGATGAGGTATTATGTACATTATTTACATTATTCGGACTATTGTCCTCATCTTTGTGCCATGTCCTCAAGAACACATGGCACAGTGGATAAAGGCGTTGGTTAGATCCAGTGACAGGACCCGAAGAGTGTGAGTTCAATACCTGGTTAAGGCAGTGGAGAACTTTCAGAGGGAAAATGAACAGGAGATAACTGATAACTGACATCCATTAAACATGGATGTGGAACTAGAACAGTCTATCCCATTGAGCGAAATAAAGGGTTCAGTTCGACATTCCAACCAACTGAAGAAGGCCGGAGCGTACAACGGCCGAAACGTTGTAATAAATATGGCGACAAAGATGAAGACAATAGTCCGAATAATGTAAATAATGTTAAAATCTCATGTTATCAATTTCTCTGAACGCCCATTTCATTACATGAAAAATAAAGTTTCTATTCGTTGTTAAACTACGTAATTATTTATGTGTCTTGTTAAAATCAAAATATTGGCACAAACAAGACAGCATTCGTAGAACAAACTCTGAAGATAGTATTCATGACGAATAATACACAAAACTCTAGGATCCACTGAAGAAATATTACACAGCTACTCCTTTTTTTTTTTTCTGGGGCTGCTGACGTATCACGTCAGATGTTTCTTTGTCATAATCCTTTTAGTAACGATGGACAGGATAATAATTAACGACCCTTTGAATACTGTAATGAAAAATGTGGAAACAATGATTGTTCTAGAATCTTTTTTCCCTTAATTCATCCCAAAAATAAAAAAAAAAGAATTTATATTTACTTAAATTCAAAACAAAATTCGGAAATGTTCTTTAAAACTTATTCAAAAATACATTCATTGTTATTTTTCGCCTTACGTCTCCAATGGAACTCACAAATAAAGGAAATCTTGACCCGTGGAGCCAAATTTCTTAGCGTCTTCCCTCCACAGCATCAAGTGAGACGTCATCATCTTCTATACTGTCAATCTGTTCAACTCAAACTCATATCATGTTCTTTCATCGACTTAGGAAGAATATTAATTCTTTGTATGAAGCTGATGTAGACCCAAAGTCGGGACCATGGAAGGAAAACACGGAACACGGATTAGAGGTAAGAAAGATATATTAAACAAAAAGGTTACAAAGATAGTGTATGTGTAAGCGGAGCTTACTATGTGCTAGTGTCCAATATTGGTAGTCGTACGCGGCTGATACTACGGTATTAGAATTTATTCATTCACACACACACACACACACACACACACACACACACACACACACACACACACACACTCTCTCTCTCTCTCTCTCTCTCTCTCTCTCTCTCTCTCTCTCTCAGAGTATTATATCGCATACTTTATATAGTCCCGGAAGAGTCCATGTTGTAGGTATGTAAGGGTCTCACAACAGAAGCAAACCCCACTTTCCTTTTCGTTGCATTCTTATATTAAGTTTAGCATCTTTATCGTAAGCTAAACAAATTTTGATTCAAAATTTATAATTTCAAGTGTGCCATAACTTTAATAAAAAAAAAGCAAACAAACCTTGATTTAAAATAATTTCTTGGGGTAAATTAATATTTACGATAAGTAACATTACATTATTTAAGGTGAATTAGCA